TTACTTCTCGCCAAAATCAACGGAGGAGACCATAGTAACATGGAGATTGGAAAAAATAGGGAAACATGAGGAAGTTCTGGCGACTAGTCTGCTTGCGCAATCTTTGAACGAACTAGGCGAATAGGAACAAATGAATATTTGATGAAGTTGAGAAATCAACATAGAGGTTTTTTTTTTGGATGAAGTAATGGGACTATTCAATAAGATGCGTAGTGAAAATTGCATATGCTCATTTACAACAGTTTACACTTCAACTAAGGGAAATCAACATAGAGGATTAAGAGTCTAATATTTCACCTTTACACTTTTGGTGTAAAGAAAACGTCCCCAAGGTAGTTGGGTAGATTTTCTGGAAGCTCAGTGCTTTCTTTTTTTGAAAAAATGGAAATTGGTTTTACATAAGGTATACTCGTACATACAAACAATTACCTGCTGAATGATTGGAGAAAAATAAGGAAAGAGAAGAAGAAAAAAAAAAAGAGAATTGAAGAGAAAAAAAGGGAAATGGTATAACTAAATCCCTTGATTGAAAGCACAAATAAGGGATTTGGGAGTCTTTTAAGGTGGATCCTATACATTTTATAAACAAAATTTGTTTATGCCAAATAATTAGCTAAACATGAACATTAAGGGTAATAAAGTTTCAATAGTGTATAAGAATGAAAAAAATCCCATTTAAAAATGCTTATAAGCCAAAGATAAGCCAAAAGCAATAAGTTGGTATCTCCCAACTTATCAAATTTCAGCTTATAAGCACTTTAGATTTGACCAAAATATTTACTATTCTATCCCTAAAATACTTTTTTAAAAACAAAACTCCTCGTATAATTTCACTCTCTCCCAGTTCTTCATAACATAAATTATATTTATAAAAAATAATATTATATAATCATTTTTATAATTAAAATAACATGATAAATAAGTTTTTTTTGTATTTGAATCTATCTAGAATCTAAAATTTTGAAGAAAATGACGTTTTAAGTAGTGTAAATTATTATAAGATCATTTAAGTCATTTTAACATAAAAAGAGCTTATCAGTACTTTTTAATCAAACATTTTTCCATTACTTATTATTAATTTCAGCACTTTTATCCAAACACATAACTGCTTATTTATTAAATTAGCTTCACCACTTAAAATGTTTTTCAGCACCTAATGCTTATCAGCTACTCTAAATTAGCTAAGCCAAACGGGTTCATACTCTTTCCAAATGCCAATTACAAGTTATAATAGTAAAAATAGTACAGTCTAGCCAGTTTTCGGACTGGTCATTCAAAAATAGCCAGCGTTTACCAAGTCAATGAAAAATAGCCACTATTTTGCTGCAACAGAGAACAATCCAGCATAATATACTGGAGTTCGGTGCACCTGTGTATGAACTTGCAGCATATTATGCTGGACTGGTATACTTTGCTGGCTCCAGTTTAATATACTGAAGAGCGGAGCACCGGTGCTCCAAACTCCAGTATATTATGCTGGACCGGTATATTATACTGGAACTCTAGTATATTAGACTGGAGTTCTAGTATAATATACCGGTCCAGCATAATATACTGGAGTTTGGAGCACCGGTGCTCCAAACTCCAGTATATTATGCTGGACCGGTATATTATACTGGAACTCTAGTATATTAGACTGGAGTTCTAGTATAATATACCGGAACTCCAGTATAGTATTGTGATGACCCAAAAGGTCATCACTTGTTTTAGAAATAAATTCTGCATTTCGAGACATTAAAAGCCTCTTTCGGCATCACCTCAATTTGCGTGCACAGTCCGAGCGCGTAGCTGGAAAGTCATTTTGTGAAAATCTGTGAAAAATGATGAATTTTGCCTTTAAAATGGATTTAAGTTGACTTCGATCAACATTTTGGGTAAACGGGCCCGGACCCGTGATTTGACGGTCCCGGAGGGTTCTTAGGAAAATATGGGACTTGGGCGCATGCCCCGAATCGAATTCCGAGGTCCCAAGCCTCAGAAATAATTTTTTAAAGAAAATTATTTTCTGGAATTATTTATGAGTTTTGGAAAGGAAACGTGTTTAAAACTTGATGGTATCGAGCCCGTATTTTTGTTTCGGAACCCGGTACAAGTCTTATATGTGATTTAAGATAAGTTTGTGAAATTTGATAAGAAACGGAAGTCGTTTGAGGTGATTCGGATCCGTAGTTGTGAAAATTGATACTTTGAAAGTTTTGAGATTTTTTTCTTAGATTTCTATGCGAAATTCGTTGTTTGAGAGGTTATTTTGGCGATTTGATCGCACAGATAAGTTCATATGATGTTTTTGAGTTAGTATGCATGTTTGGTTTGGAGCCCCGAGGGCTCAGATGATTTCGGAAGGTTTTGAACTTGTGAAAAATTGCAGAAACTGATGTTCTGATGCACAGGCCTTCTGTGCTTCGCGACCGCGAAGCCCTTCACACGATCACGAAAGGGAAAATGGGCAGGGGTAGATTTTGTTCAATGCGAGCGCGAGGTAGGGATCGCGAATACGGAGCACTAGGGGGTTTCTCTACGCGAATGCGACCCACGTCCCGCGAACGCGTAGCGTAAATAGGGGGCTGGTACGGGAAGTAATCGTTCCTCTACGCGAACGCGTGCACAGGATCGCGAACGCGAATGTCAGGGGGCCAACCTTTCACTGAACGCGTAAGAGGACTCGCAATCGAGTAAGCCTGAGGAAGGCTGCTTTTCGCGAACGCGATGAAGGTCTGCCCAGCGATTTTTAAACAGTAAATAACACACTTGAGATTAAATCAAATTTCATAACTTCTTCTTCAAAACTCCAAATTGAGCGATTTTTGAAAGAGCACTTCACCACAAATTCATAGGTATGTAATCTTAGACTCAATTTTTTCAATTTCCATTAACACCCATTATATTTCTAAGCCTAAATTATGTTTTTAAGGGTAGAAAATTAGGGACTTGAGTAGAGTTAGGGCTTTTTGCATAATTGGGATTTAGACCTCGTTTTGGGGTCGAATTTTGGAACTAATTATATATTCGGGCTCGTGGGTGAATGGGTGATCGAGTTTTGGTCCGAACCTCGTGTTTTGACCATGCGGGCCCGGGGTCGATTTTTGACTTTTTTGGAAGAATGGTAGGAAATATATAATTGAGCATTGGAATTGGATTGTTTAGCGTTTATTGATGTTATTAAGTCGATTATATCTAGATACAATTGATTTGGAGACAAATTCAAAAGGAAAAGCGGTATTTGAGGCTTGAGTTGGCCGTGGAAGTTCAAGGTAAGTGTTTGGTCTAACCTTAGCTTGGGGGATTAAGAGTTGAGTCCTATTTGCTACATGTACTTGTTGAGTACGACGTATAGGCATGGTGACGAGTATCTATACGTTGGTGTCAAGCATAACCATGCGTCTTAAATTGAAATTGTTGTGTTCTTTATATATACTACGAATGCCTAAGTTGTTGATTCTCTGTGTTGAGTAAGGATTATGATTATTCTCGTGGAAATTACTTATGATTGAGTATCGGTGCTAGTTGAGGTAGTTAGATGTTGGAACATGTTTGGTTATAACTGATTTTCCCTTGCCAGGACGTATTTACTTACACCGTAAATTCCCCTGCCGGGATAGTGTTGTTTTTTATTTGATCCCTTGCCGGGACTCTTGTTGTGATTGGTGTTGAACTGTATATGTGGATCGGATTGCGCGCTGCAATAATATTATGTTTGGATCGGGTTGCACGCCGCAACAATATTATGCTTGGATTGGGTTGCATGCCGCAACAATGATAAAATTGGATCGGGTTGCACGCTGCAACAATAATATAATTGAATCGGATTGCACTCCGCAACAGTGATAAATGATATGGATCGAGTTGCACGCTGCAACAATGTTATTATGTTTTGGGATCGGGTTACGCGCCGCAACAATTGATAATACAAAGTGTTTATAGATTGGTTACGAGTTCCTTATCATTTTACTGTAAATTCTAAATTGTCCTTATGCCCTTCCCTTAATTTACTGATGGTATTAATATTCCCCCGCAGCATGTACCCCCTCCCATCCTTACTTGTTTATTCCTGTTTTATTTTTCGCTGCATATTATATAACTGCACAGGTTTATTTGGTAGTCTGGTCCTAGCCTCGTCACTACTTCGCCGGGGTTAGGCCAGACACTTACCAGTATATGGGGTCGGTTGTGCTGATACTACACTCTGCACTATGTGCAGATCCTGGAGCGTCAACTTTTGGACCGTAGCTTTGGGTGGCTGCCTTCAGTCCAGTTAGAGATCCCGAGGTAGTCCTGCAGGCGTCCGCAGGCCCGACATTCTCTTCTATCTTTATATGTATTCTATTTTTATCTACTTTAGAGACACATTGTACCTTTCTTTCCAGATATTTGTATGTAATATTTGTAGGTGGTCCGTGATATTGTGACACCGGATTCCGGGTAGAGATGTATGTTGGTATTGCCGTATTGGTTTTGGCTAAGTTATCAGATTAAGTCTTCCACATGTATTTATTTATCGTTAATATTTCATTGTTAATCGCATGTTAATTTAAATTGTTAAAAAGGCTAAATAAAAGAGTTAGTGATTCTATATTATGCGGATTGCCTAGCTTTCACGAGTAGGCGCCATCACGACTCCCGAGGATGGGAAATCCGGGTCGTGACAATTGTGCTGGAGTATTTTTTCGGATTTTGAACAGTGTTTTCGTTCAGATTTATCTTTACATAAAAAGTGGCTAAATTTCGATTACTTTTGAAACTGGGCTACTTTTGAATGACCACTTGTAAATCTGGCTATTTTTGAATTTCTCCCGTTATAATACTCAAAAGTAAAGAAGGACTAAAATGCAAATAAAAGAACTAAATAAGAAGATGAAGAGGGACCAATCAGCAATTCAGCTAAAAGTTACTCCACTATAATATAACTAACTCAACAAATTCAGTACCCCTCCATAGCAATAGCACTGAGCCTTCGATTTCGCTGACCTTATAAACTGATCTTCTTCACATCAACATGGAAATATAAATTTTTCTCTCCAAAACCTCAGCCAAAGAAAAATGGAGAAATCATAAGAATTACTACTATTAAACAGAAAAGCAAAAGTATAAAACAGATATATAGTGTAACCAAAAATAAGGATTAGAAACAAATGATTATTCTTATACTACGAACTTCACAAAAAAAGTGAGGAAAAGAGTGGAAGTGAACTAGGGTTTTTGGTTTAATTCAGTAAAAATGTACGAAGAAAGTGAATATGTAGATGAAAATGTTGACGATAGAGTACTAATGGCAGTTGATGAAGAAGAAGAACAAGCTGAAGGCGATGAGGCGCAGGAAATAACTCAGGACGATGCATGGGCAGTTATTAGTGCATATTTTGAAGAGAAAGGTCTCGTAAGGCAACAATTGGACTCGTTCGACGAGTTTATACAGAATACAATGCAAGAAATTGTTGATGAAACTGCTAATATTGAGATCCGTCCTGAATCTCAGCATAATCCTAGTCGTCAACCTGATTTCGTTGAGGTTTAATTTAATTCCGAGATTTGCTTGCTGTTTTTTCAATATTTCGTAGAAATTCTGTTTTGAATTTGTTTTTGGACTGTAAACGAAGTAAAGAACTAAAACTTCATCAAATTGATTAAGTAGTTTGTTATTTTAACAATATCAGCCAGTCATAAACAACTGAAATTCAACGTCAACATTGGCACTTATCATTTAGGTTGCGTTATTTTTGGGGATATATGCATCAATAACAACGTGCACTTTAATTTCGAGCTAGTTGTGGTTGGTTATATGAATTTTTAGCTCCATTTGAGCTCATCAATAGAGATGCTCTGAACCTTACACCTATTATTGCACTATCATATAGTAATATCTATCAATTTTAAAATACTCTATGTCAAATATGGGACTTAATGTAAGTGTTCCAATAATGATTAGCCTTAATCTCAACTAGTTGATATTGCCTATACAGAACTTTGCTTTCCTTATTAGTCATTAGGCTTAATTAATTTGAGCATGTGCATGATCTTGTTTGGCACCAATGGCTGTAATGACTTATTACTATTTGCTGTTAAAATGAATTAAATTGTTTTTGGTTCTTATTCTGCAGACAATCTATAAGATCAAGTTTACTCAGATATACTTGAGTAGACCTATGATGACAGAATCTGATGGAGAGACTAATACTTTGTTTCCAAAGGCTGCAAGGTTAAGGAACTTAACATACTCCTCCCCTCTATATGTTGATGTGAAGAAGGAAGTAATAAAGAAAGGTCATGACTATGAAGAAGTCACTGAGAATCAGGAATTTACCAAAGTTTTCATTGGAAAGGTAACAAAATGTGGATCCATCAACTTATAGTATTAGTATTTTGATTTTGGGTTTTTTAACTGCCTGCTGAGTATCATTTTCAGGTTCCAATAATGCTTCGATCGAGCTACTGCAGCTTGTATAACCTATCAGAGAAAGACTTAACTGAGTTGGGAGAGTGTCCTTATGATCAAGGTGGATATTTCATAGTCAATGGGAGTGAAAAAGTTCTGATTGCACAGGAAAAAATGAGCAGTAATCACGTTTATGTATTCAAGAAAAGACAGCCAAACAAGTATGCATATGTAGCAGAAGTTCGGTCTATAGCTGAGGGCCAAAACAAGGCGCCTAGCAGCATGTTTGTTAGGATGCTTTCTAGGTCCAATGCTAAGGTTGTAACAGAACCTAACTCCTTTAAGGATGAATATACGCTTGTATCTATAGTTCATTTTTGCTTTAGGTCTTAAGGAACTTTTATCTGCTTTGTGACAGGGGGCCTCTGGGCAATATATACGTGCCACTCTTCCATACATACGGGCTGAAATTCCAATTATAGTTGTCTTCAGGGCATTAGGATTTGTCGCAGACAAGGATATATTGGCACATATCTGTTATGATTTTGCTGACACACAAATGATGGAATTACTCCACCCTTCCTTGGAAGAGGCTTTTGTGATTCAAAACCAGCAGGTATTGTTTTAGTTCATTGGACTTCTGATGGAATCTTCTGTTAAGATATAATCTGTTCTAACATAAAAATTTCCTCTGACAAATTTTGGTAGGTTGCACTTGACTATATTGGCAAAAGAGGATCTACTGTTGGTTTCACAAGAGAAAGGAGAATTAAGTTGGGAACTTCTTGATAGTCAGTTTTGGTGTTTTTTTGTTTCTCTATTGCTTAGTAGTACTTGTTATCTGCATTTTGCAGGTATGCAAAAGAGATCCTCCAAAGGGAGATGCTTCCACATGTTGGTACTAGGGAGTATTGTGAAACTAAGAAGGCCTACTATTTCGGGTGAGCCTGTGAACCTGAATTTGGAATTTATGAATATGGTTAAATAATCGCTAACAGAGAGTTGCCTTCATTTTTTACCAGCTACATCATCCATCGGCTTTTACTCTGTGTACTAGGACGGAGGCCTGAAGATGATAGGGATCATTATGGAAATAAAAGACTGGATCTTGCTGGCCCTTTACTTGGTGGCTTATTCCGAATGGTCTGCAATTTGTTGAAATATTTTGGTTGGAGAAGCTGAGGACAATTCCTAGTAGTAATAAATCTTGATATTTATGCAGCTATTCAGAAAGCTAACCAGGGATGTGAGATCCTATGTTCAAAAGGTCAATATCTTGGTTTCTTTTCATGCCCTATCTATTTGCATATATGAAGCTTCTGAAAAATTAAGCAATTACTTTTGTGGGCAAGTCAGTGTGTTGACAGTGGAAAGGATGTGAATTTGCAATTTGCGATTAAAGCAAAAACAATTACAAGTGGACTTAAGTATTCTCTTGCTACTGGGAACTGGGGACAAGCAAATGCAGCTGGTACAAGGGCAGGAGTTTCACAGGTGAGCTTTTCTCTGATCATATTAACATCACTTGTATAGACTTTTTTCTTTTTCATCTTTTTCTGTTGGTTCACTTTTATATGCATATGCTTAGACAGGTTTTGAATCGTTTGACATTTGCATCTACTCTTTCTCACTTGCGTAGATTGAACTCACCAATAGGGCGCGAGGGTAATTTTCTCTTGCTCTTAGAATTGACTTCATTTGTTCTTTCGGTGGTTTCTTTGTCACCAATCTCTTATACTTGGTAACCAGGTAAACTGGCAAAACCTAGGCAACTCCACAATTCTCACTGGGGAATGATGTGTCCAGCAGAAACGCCTGAAGGACAAGTAACATTATACACGGTTTCATTTAGTAATTGAGTTAAATGATTATTAGAACACTATGCAACATTATGTCTGTTGGTGATATGTCAGGCATGTGGGCTGGTAAAGAACCTTGCACTAATGGTGTACATAACAGTAGGATCAGCAGCAAATCCAATTTTGGAGTTTCTAGAGGAGTGGAGTACTGAAAATTTTGAGGTAGGCCATTCCTGGAAGATGCTCATGGATCTCAGGTTCTAGTTTTTTCACAAGTTTATGTCATTCTTTTACTCTAGGAAATATCTCCCGCGGTTATTCCCCAATCTACCAAGATTTTTGTAAATGGTTGTTGGGTTGGCATTCATCGTAATCCAGATCTATTGGTTAGGACACTGAGACAGCTGAGGAGACAGGTTTTGCTACCACATTATTTTCTTCTCTTTTTTATGTAGTTTGTTGACAATCATACACTTGAGTGATGATTGTTCCTGCAAGTTTTAGATATTGACTTATGATTATTTAAACTCTTGTTCTCATTAGGTTGACGTTAATACTGAAGTTGGAGTTGTCCGCAATATAAATTTAAAGGAACTGCGGCTATATACAGATTATGGACGCTGTAGTAGGCCGTTATTCATTGTGGAGAAAAAGAAGTTAATAATAAAGAAGAAGGATATTATCGCATTGCAGATGAGGGTATGTACTATTTAGCAAGATTGAATCATTCTATAATCCCTCAGTCCCATTGACCTAGCTTCTGCTGATCTCAGGAGTCATCTGAAGATTCTGGCTGGCATGATCTTGTGGCAAAAGGATTTATTGAGTATGTTGATACAGAGGAAGAAGAGACTACAATGATTGCAATGACCATAAATGTAAGAAGTCATGAGCTGTAGATGTTGCTTTACAATGTATTACTTCCTAATGATGACCAAGAAATGTTGCTGCTGGCCTGCTTCTTTTGAAGCATAATCATCCATTTCTTGACTTTCAAGTGCTTCTTATTCAATCAGAAGTAAAATTTAGTGGTCTTAGACTTGAAATTTCTATAAAGCGATTTTCCTGGTTAACCTTTTAGGATCTTACAAATTCAAGGCTGAACCCAGAAGAGGCTTATTCTGAAACCTACACGCACTGTGAAATCCATCCATCTTTGATATTGGGAGTATGCGCTTCTATCATACCATTTCCTGACCATAACCAGGTGAATCTTATGTTTTATGGTATTTGTTTGATAGATGTTTCAAGACTCTTTCCCCATAATATCTAGATGTCTTATCAACTAGCATCCTTTTTCCTTTCTTAAACCCCTTCCTTATCTTCTGCTATATTGTCTATAATTTCAATATGATGCAGTCCCCTCGTAACACATACCAATCAGCTATGGGAAAACAAGCAATGGGGATTTATGTCACCAATTACCAATTTCGGATGGTGAGATACTTTCTATCTACTGCTGCAAGCTTTCCTCTATTCTTCAGTTCATCACTTCCAAGTGTTTTATAGTTTTTCTGATTCTTGATAATTGCTCGCTTATGCTACATACAGGATACATTGGCCTATGTACTGTATTATCCGCAGAAGCCTCTTGTTACTACACGTGCTATGGAGCATTTGCATTTCAGGCAGCTTCCTGCTGGCATTGTAATTAAGCACCAGCTTATTGCTTGCCTTCATTCTTAACTTTTTTGCTTTATAGTGATCATAACTTTTCCTGTTGGATTTGCAAAAGAATGCCATTGTTGCCATTTCCTGCTATTCTGGCTATAACCAAGAAGACTCTGTCATCATGAATCAATCTTCAATTGACCGTGGCTTCTTCCGCTCTCTATTTTTTCGTTCATATAGGTATGCAAGTCTATTTTTTACTTCATATAATCTGCTGTTTCTTTCGCTGATCAAGCTCCTGTCTCCGTTTTCCCTCAATAGAGATGAAGAGAAAAAGATGGGAACGCTTGTTAAAGAGGATTTCGGGCGTCCTGATAGAGAAAATACCATGGTTGGTTTTCTATTGGTCACTATCTTCCTCCAGACTCCATCCCGCTTTCTAAAAGACATTTGGACAAATGAAGAAAGAAAGGAAATAGTATAAATGATAGTTGTGCTTTTTAAAAGAGTAAATCTATTTTCTACTTGTATAATGTTGGATTATGGTTATAAATTCTTGCAGGGAATGCGACATGGATCCTATGATAAATTAGATGATGATGGATTTGCGCCTCCTGTTAGTATTACTAGCAAACACCAATTCATCATTCTGCTTCGTTGAGATGTGCTTAAAATTTTGATCTCTGATAATTTTTTGCTGATGCTAGGGAACAAGAGTTTCTGGTGATGATGTTATAATTGGAAAGACCACACCAATTTCTCAAGATGATGCTCAGGGACAACCAGCAAGATACACACGAAAAGACCACAGTACAAGTCTACGGCATAGTGAAACTGGAATTGTGGATCAGGTCCCTAATCCCTATACATTTAATTATGCTTCAGTTTTCCTAGTCCTTTCCCTATTAAGGGGAAACTCTTCAGAATGAATTTTTTTTTAAATAATTGTGATGGTTTTCTCCATATTTCTTGTTTGCCTTTATTTATCAGTTTTAATCATTTGTTAACTATCTAGTTAATCAGTTGTTTCCTTTCTTTACGTAGGTTCTTTTGACAACAAATGCAGATGGACTGAGATTTGTCAAAATAAGAATGAGGTCTGTCAGAATTCCACAAATTGGAGATAAATTCAGCAGCAGGCATGGACAAAAAGGAACAATAGGAATGACTTATACACAAGAAGACATGCCATGGAACATTGAAGGCATCACCCCAGATATCATCGTGAATCCACATGCCATTCCTTCTCGTATGACAATTGGTCAGCTAGTCGAGTGTATTATGGGGAAGGTTGCTGCTCACATGGGAAAGGAAGGAGATGCTACCCCTTTTACTGATGTTACTGTAAGTTCAGGAAGTCACTTTTGGAAAATAAAGACTTTGTAATTGTAAATGCAATTGAAGCAATACACATTTTCAGATTTATATAATAATGAGAGAAAAACTGTTTTTGAGTTAGTACTATATTTAGAGATGAAAGAATGTGCCAGGAGGATCATGAACTACTGGTTTATCTAATAAAAATAAGGGATTAGGACTTATTATTGAATATGATTGATGATGCCTTCACAGAGACAGATTACAAAAATGAACTAACCATTTAATACTTTCAGGTGGATAATATCAGCAAAGCTCTGCACAGGTGTGGTTATCAGATGCGTGGTTTTGAGAGAATGTATAATGGTCATACAGGCCGTGTATTGACCGCAATGATATTCTTGGGGCCAATTTATTACCAGAGGCTGAAGCACATGGTGGATGATAAGATCCATTCTCGTGGTCGTGGTCCTGTGCAGATTCTCACTAGACAGCCTGCTGAAGGAAGATCTCGGGATGGAGGCCTACGATTTGGGGAGATGGAGCGTGACTGTATGATCGCTCATGGGGCTGCACATTTCCTCAAAGAGAGGCTGTTTGATCAAAGCGATGCTTACAGAGTTCATGTATGCCAGCAATGTGGTTTAATTGCAATTGCTAATCTAAAAAAGATGTCATTTGAGTGCAGATCTTGCAGGAATAAAACTGATAATGTTCAGGTACAATCCTCCTCTTGCTACCTTTGTTCAGCTCTCCAAATATGTACACACAACACTCATATAGTACCCAATTTGTTAAAGACCTTTGTTGCCTGAAATGTGTAGGTGTATATCCCTTATGCCTGCAAGCTTCTGATTCAAGAGCTCATGTCAATGGCAATCGCACCAAGAATGCTTACAAAGGAACCGAAACCATCCAGCGGAAAGAAAGCATCCTGACGGCAACTCCCCTTTTTCTGCACACTTGGTCATAAGTCTATCTACTGGACTTCCTAACGAGTTTTCTGGATATCAGAAATTGCAAGATTACAGTGCAAATATGAATGAACTCTTTCCTTACTGTTTTCCAATAGCTTGTGCTTCTATGTCAAAGCGGAAGTCAACTGGTTGAACCTTTGACTTTAACGAAGTGACCTTACAGAATGAGCTTGCAAGTAGTACAAGTATGTTCAGGTTAGCAGGGAGATTTTCTGAGGACTTGCACAAATCAGTTTTGATTGTTAACATTCCAAGTTCCACATAAACAAAATAATAATAAACGTTCCTTCCCATCCTGATGCATTCTATGCCTAATCTCCCAATCATTGCTACCAATAAATGATCTACCTTAACCGAGTCCCACATTCTATGCCCTCTCACTGAGCCATTGGTATTTTTGATTGTTAATTTAATAAACATTAAAGTAGATTATTAAACTAAATATTCTATTTTTGTTGATATTAGATGTCATCAAGTAGAATCTTTTTTAGACACTAAAGTTTGATCAGCTCTAGACTTTTGCTTTATTTTTTAAATGTTACTGTCGTTCTTAAGAACCCAAATAGTGTCCTCACTATGTTAACATATTCTTATTGACATTCTAACAGTGTCTTACATTATTATTTTTGATTTGTTATATTATACACCTCTAAGGGAGATATTATACACTTATTCTCACTCAGAAATCTGCAAGAACAACTTTTGAACAGCATTCTGTCATATCCTAGTTATATACGGATAGGTGTAGGGAATATGTACAACAGCACTTACGCAGGAGATTGAGAAAATGAGAAGGATACAATATTTTAATATTGTTGAATCATTATGATAATCAGACCATAAGGAAACTCAATGCATTACTAAATGTAGAAACAACAGGATAACAATAAGATAAAGCAGCAAAATAAGCTATTAAGCAGCCTTGTCAAGTAAAGACTGATTTCTATTTAGAACCGAGAGATAGAAACATCTTGATCAAGATCCAGCTCAAAATGAATTAGCATTCAGCTTATCCAGGATCTTCTGCAGATCTTCTTTAAAGGTATGAATTGAACTCTCAAACTCCCCCACCCTTGCCATCAAATTTACCAAAGTCTCTTTTATAGCGGTGCATTCAGGGTTACAAGGCTGCAAAATAAACCAAAAATTAAATCGACAAAATTATTCAGCTCAGTGAACAAATGAAGAAGCTAGCATAAGGTCTTAACAATATCGAAAAATATTACTAAAATGGAAAAAACAAAAAAGTTCAGTTAAATGTACCACAGGAGAAGCAAAGTGAGCTTGATTCTCTGTAGCTGGAGAGACTGTGATTGTGGACACAGCCTGTGTTTCCTTGGAGTCAAACACTATCTCACCAGAAGAGCAGACAGTATTTTCTACAGAATTAGGAGGAATTTCTTTAACATCTTCATTTGATGTTGGCTGGGCTACAAAGACTGGTAACTCAGCCTCTCGAAGAAAAAATCCTCGGTTTTTATCATAGTCCAATATAGTAGTGTCTGTTTCAGACAATACAGCATTATACTTCTCCCACATTTCTTCAGGTGACATGGCATAAGACAATGAATCATCAACCTTCTCAACTATGTCTTCAGGTTCCCCAGTCAATAGCTCTATTTCCTTACTATCATTGGACACACCAGGAACTAATAGAGAACCTCTCATTTCTGTTTCCTTAGTATCAACACACACCACTCCCAAAGATTCAGTTTCTTTCAAATTTTCACCAGACTCTTTGCTTACAGTAATACAGTCAGCATTTTGGGACACAACTGCTACATCATTTGACACTACATTGTCCTCATTGGATATGATATTCAACAAGGGAACTTCATTTTCTTCTATAGTATTATCATCTACAGTTGCAACCTTAGTTTCACCAGAAACTTCTCCAATGGACTGATTGGATTGTTCCAATTCCTTGTCAACAGAAGCTGTTGCATGCAAAACAGCACCTTTAGTCAACTTTTCGATTGGTATACTCAGTTTGACAATAGAAACTGTGGTAAAATCTGCATGAGTAAAACAACAATCAGCAAAAGGAATCACACAACCTAGAACTTAGGAAGGGATATAAGTTACACTATCAGTGAATTTTGACCGGTGATAGCATTTTAGTTTACCATTTTTACAAGATCAGCAATTGCTATTTACCAAGAAATTTACGTCTAATTACCTAATATGTGAAATGATTCTAAATATTTTACACTTTCAGTGCAGAGAGATAAAATTCTTTGAAAAGATAGAGAATGAAACTTTTTAAGAACAAAAAAGTACCATAAGTTTGTTTTGCCTGAGCCTCTTCTTGTTGTTTCCTTCTAGCAGCTCTCCTCTTCTTTGCACCTGATGGCATTTTTGCTTCTATCCTTTCTCAAAATTTAGGCCAATGTAATGAACAAATTGAGTAGTAGTTAACTAAGACAGACTAAAAAGGGGGTATATATAGGTATATGTCTATTAAAATTCTGTGCTTAATTTAATTAAAGAAGCTCTAAATTCTAATAAGTCTCTTAAAATTCTGGAACTGGTTTAATTAAAGAAGTTATAAAATTCTAATAAGTCTCTTAAAATTTTGAGATTGTTTTTTTAATTAAAGAAGTTCTAGTTCATGAACAGTTGATTGCACTTCCAATGAAAATTAAATTCTGATTTTACTAGAAAAAAAGAGACCAAATGTGTCAAAGAAATTGTGAGTTATTCTGTGTGTAGTTGTGGAAGATTTGCGATTATTGAATCCAAAGAGTCGTAATAAATTAAACTAAAAAATACATTTAAGGCCTGCTTAACTTGCAACGGCCAAGTTATAATGTATCTGTATATTGTATATTGTATCTCGAGCATAACTTGTAATGTCCAACATGCTCTTATTATTATCTATCAATTACTCACTCTTATCAGATTTAGTTAGTATTAAACGAAGCTAATTTAACTAAAAATAAAATATTCAAAAACTACAACAGATACCATGATTTGCACATCTCTTCCTATTATAATAAAATTGAGATGAGCTAGACGTCCTATCACTCATGTATATAGAAAAGCACACTATTGTATGCAGGACAGAGTATCCATATTGTCAATTTTTAAAGGTAAAAAAAGGTTGAATATGGATTTATGCAGTAAAGTGCGTTTTTTTTAATTCCAATGCTTAAAATTTAAGTACAAGAAAGATGATTTTGTTTCCATTCTCATGTTCTAAAGAAAATTTCAACAATTTCACACAGTTATGTAACGGAAAAAGCACCTGGAGATGTTTGTCTAATTAAGCCCACCAAAGATACTTATGGAATATTAAACAAATTTTATCACTTGAAAATAACCTCATTATCAAAAAATAAAGAATTACTGATTAACTCACTTGTTTCTTAATAGTACCTCAAAGAAGATTAATGATACAAAAGAAATTTTAGGAAAGTCTTCGTAATTTATAATGCTTCACGCGTATTATCAACTAGGGGTACCGTACCGTATCGAATCGATTTTTAGGTTTCTTTTAATAAAATCGTATTTTTTAATATAAATCTATAACCGAACCGATAATTAGGATAGATTTTTTATTTTATGAAAATAAACCGAAAAAATACAGAACCGTACCGAATAAATTTACAATGTGAAAATATATTTATATATTAAGTTTAAAAATAATAAAGCATTAAATTTTTTCTAGGGCCATGGAATTATGAAATAGTTACAAGCCAACAAGTAATTAATCTTAAAATCCTAATTCTCAAACCTATTATGCTATTCCTATTGAAACTAAATTATTTCCAGCATATTCACTAGCAAAATACAAGGTATTGTAGCGATTATGAGTAGCAAACTACAATGTATTGAATATGTTTCCTTTCGTATGATTTAGATTTATCTTTTTGAATATTTAATTTCTATAGACTTTATTCTTGAGACCCAACTTGGTTAATATCTTTCCACTCGTGCGACTTATTTTTTTTTTTGTGTGTTTGTTTAGTTTCTTTTATGCTGATGTAGAATAGTTGATGGATCTATACTCTAGCCATCCTTTATATTTTCTTAATTTATCACCTTTTAAAACAATAAAAATGTCGAGAGAGTTTTGCTAAATCCAATAAAAGTACATATGTTATTACATTCTACTTCTACTAGTGATTTTTACACAACATTTAAAAAAAATACCGAATATTTATCGAACCGTACCAATACCGAAGAAAAACTGACATGATTGAGACGGTTTCGAAAAGTCTAATTTTGGTTATGCATAATAGAATAACCGAAAATTTGGAATGGAAATATTATAAAATAACCGACGAACCATTGACATCCCTATTATCAATTACTCACTCTATCCACTTTGGTTGATACCATTTATTATCTAAAAGAGTTAATATGATCAAATTTAAAACTACACTAAATGAAAATCTTTTTAAGACAATAAAGTTTGATTACCTCTAGACTTTTGCTTACTTTTCAAATGTCATTGTTGCTCTTAAGAACGCAAATAGTGTGCGGACTATTTTAACGTTATTCTTAGGGAGATATTATAAACTTATTCTCACTCACGGAAGAGACAAATAAAGAGAAGGATTTTAAAGTACAAAGACTTTTTGAATAGATAGCCATATCCTATTAATCTATATCTATATCTATCTATATTATATTAAAAGGAGAGTAGTATGCATTGTGGTTAAGCCAAGTGACAAGCTAAAATGAAGCCATTTGGCAATTTTAGGACAACATTAATAATTAAAAATTATATTTAGAAACATAATTAATGGAAGTAGTTTAATGAATCTTATACATAATCTAAATAGATCTTAGACAAATCTAATCTATATATTTATAATTAAATTTATATGTATATTTGTATCTATATATCTATATCTATATCTATATCTATATCTATATATTGATCTACTCATAGATTTTTTTTATATTAGCTAGAAATATGGAGGTGAAAAATTAATTAAAAACTATAATAGAAAAAATTATAAATATATAAAGACGTAAATTGAGATAACCTATAACTATTTATACTTTGGAGTAAGTTAAAAATATAAAATAAAACTAAAATTTACTTAAGATATTAAGGATTTATTGAGTTTAAAAATTAAATAATTTCAAGCAGCAAAATAAGATCTTACATAAAGTATACAAATTATTTATAAGGTAAGAGAATAATTAAATAATTAACAAAAGATATTTTAATAATAAGAATAATAAATTCATATCAACACTGATAAATCGTGCAAACGAATATTTGATACGTAAATATTACTAAAACATTTAGATATAATGTGTTCGAACAATTAATAAAATATTTTTTTATGATTATTTTTGAATTAAGT